ATTAGAACCTAGAGCCAGGAAGTGTGTCTTTCTAGGATATCCCGAAGGGGTTAAGGGCTATAGGTTATGGGATAGAAGCCAAAAAGGAGTTAAGATCATCGTGAGTAGGGATGTCACATTTAATGAGAGTGAGATGCCTTGTCTAAGGAACGAAACCGAACCTGTAAGTGAAACTGAATCATGTGAAGAAAGAAATCGGTTTAAGGTGGAGTTAGGAAAATTTAACACATCAGTATATAGTACTTCGAGTGAGGTGGAGATTTAGGTCCAAGAACCTGAAGAGGAAAATGAAGTAGTGATAGAAGAGCATCCTGAGGAAGAAAATCCATTAACTAACTATAATTTAGTTAGGGATAGAGAGAGAAGACAAACGAGAGAACTTAGGAGGTTCGGGTTTGAATCTGAATTGGATTTTGCATACGCTAGTTACGAAGAACTAGTTGATAGGGAGCTGGAAACTTTTGAAGAGGCTATGAATATTGGTCAATCTAAGGAGTGGCTTAAGGCTATGAAAGAAGAGATGAGTTCTCTATAAAAGAATCAAACTTGGGAGTTAGTACCGAGACCTAAGAATAAATCAATCGTTGATTGCAAGTGGGTCTTTAAGGTTAAGGAATGTACTAGTAGTTCAGAACCCTTAAGATTTAAGGCTAGGTTAGTAGCGAAGGGTTATACACAGAAAGAAGGTGTTGATTATAACGAGATTTTTTCACCAGTTGTCAAGTACACTACTATTAGGGTCATGCTCGCATTGGTTGCGCTCTTTGACTGGGAACTTGAACAACTCGATGTAAAAATCGCTTTTTTACATGGAGAGCTTGATGAACAAATCTTTATGAATCAACCAAAAGGTTTTAAAGACAAGTTTAAACCTGATTATGTGTATTTTCTGAAGAGATCCCTATACGGTCTAAAGCAATCACCTAGACAGAGGTATAAGAGGTTTGATTCCTTTGTACTCAATATAGGATTTCAAAGAAATAAATTCGATCACTGCCTATACTTTCAACACAACGAGACTAATAACAATTATTTGTTCTTGTTGCTCTATGTGGACGACATACTTTTAGTTGGATTATCTCTTAAGTGGATAAACAATATAAAAGTAGACCTTAGTGGAGAATTTGACATGGAAGACCTAGGAAAGGCTAAAAGGATTCTAGGCATGGAAATAAAACGAAATAGGTCAAATTCCATCGTATTCTTGCATCAGTCTCCATACATATCAAAGGTGTTGAAAATGTTTAATATGAGTGACTGCAAACCTGTCACGTTGCCTCTTACAAACCATTTTGTTATATCTAAAGAACAAGCTCCCTGCAATGAACGTAAAGTGGAATACATGAGTAAAATTCCATACTCAAATGTGATTGGTTCCATAATATATTTGATGGTTTGCACTAGACCGGACTTAGGATTCACTGTTAGTACTCTCAGTAAGTACATGTCTAATCCAGGTCCTGAACATTGGGAAGTATTAAAGTGGCTTTTAAGATATTTGAAGGATACAAGTGACGTAGGTCTAAAATTTAGTGCTAATAAGGAAGGCGTGAAATTAAAGGGTTTTGTAGATACTGACTATGCAGGATATATGGATGGTAGGAAATCAACTTCCTCTTACGTATTGACCTTATCAAATTCGTGTGTTAGTTGGAAATCACAGTTACAACACATAGTTGCACTATCCACTACAGAGTCAGAATATATCACCACCACTGAAGCAATTAAAGAGGCTCTATGGCTTAGAGGTCTACTTCATGAACTAAGTGTCTTGAATGAGTATGTGGTTGTATATTCTGATAGTCAGTCATCCATACATCTGTGTAAGAATCCTGTTTTTCACGAACGCACTAAACATATCGATGTTAGGCTACACTTTATTAGGGATATAATATCACAAGAAGTAGTAAGACTTGAAAAAATTCACACACAATATAATCCTTCGGATATGGGCACGAAAGTGCTGCCACTGGTAAAGTTTAGAAGTTGCAAGGAGCTTCTAAACATCGGTACAGGTAAATGATTTCCAATTTTATTGATTTTCTGTTAGAGGTGTCACTAATGGAAAACGTTTTCTCTTTGCAGGTCCTTTGACACCAAGGTGGAGGTTGTTAGACATCATGTTGTCAAACGACCTCCCGGGCGATGATGTAAATCAGTTTTATCAGTCGACATGAATGACTGAACGATAAATCAACACCGAATAATGGGATGACCCGACTTTTTGTTTTACCTATTGGATTGCTAATAAACCTTTGTGGCTTGTTGGTGTGCTATTGGGCCATAACCCTAGTCGAGCCCACGTACCATATGTATAACTTACCTTATTGTTTGTCATTGGTTTACTATATATATTGGTAACTCTCGTAGCCTTCCATGGTCCCCTTTTTGTGAAAGAACCCGAGAGAGAGAGAGAGGCCGTGTCTTCTTCTTCTTCGTGCATTCTACTCCTTGATCTTGTCTACCTCTTGCTTGTGTCTTTGTGACTCTTACCTGTGTGGTATTCATTCTTTGTAAGTGATCAAACAACAAGCAGAAGGAAGAAAAGCAACCATAGGTAGAACTCGTGAGGTCGGCGGCGGGTACCTTCAGTTTTGGTGTTGATTCGGTGTTTTAAAGATTAACTGAGCCCGAAAATCATCTTGAGCAGCAATAGGAAGATCCTAACAAAATATGTTGACTATACTTTCTTTAATTGGAACTATGATTGATGCTTAAACTTTTGTCTTCTGTTGAACAAATTAATACGAGTACTTCAACTTATTGCTTGAATAAATTTTATATGAAGAATCCAGAGATTAAAAATTTAATATATTGTCACAAGAGAGAGTACAAAGAAACTCCCGAGGTTTTAAATGAAAAGAACAAGGAAAAGTGGTTGATCACAAGAGGTACAATCATGTTTTTGTAGCTCATATTTTCATGATTTAATTTTACTTATTTGGTGGTGCACGAGATGCAACATTTTATCTATCAAAGTATGCATTATTTGACAATGACATGGTTGGAGGAAGTTGAGCCACGGGAATTAGAATATGAAGAAGATGATCTCCCTTTTGTTATGCATTTCTGTTTTTTTGAACTCACAAAATTTGTTAGATGGAAGGATGCAATTATTTCACTATCATACACTCGAACTTCCAGATTGATATAAACACGAAAATATCCATATTTTAATTGTAAAAAATAAAAAAAAAATCCAATTTTTAAGTTCAATTGACGGATGAATTGACGATTTTTATCATTTCGTCCTTGTAGTGATACTATTTTAAAAGATTTTAAATTGTGGACGGAACAAACTAAAGAGTTGAGTAAATTCTAAAAAAATTTATCCTTAAGATTAAGCCCCTGTTTGGTCCCCATTTTTTGAAAATAAAAATGAGTGAAATAATATTTTTTTGAAAAATGAGTGATTAAAAAAGAAAGAAAAATTTTCAATTTACATGTAATATTATTTTATAAAAAATTGTATGATTGAAAATATGAGAAAAAAAATAAAATTTAATGTCGCGAGATTCAAATGGGGGCTAACATAGAAGTCAAGTTTGAGTTGGTAATAGATGGACATATGTCATAGCTGCAAATGACGCAGCAAATTTCACTTGGGATCTGTAGTCGAATCAACAAAATAACCTTAGATCTCACACTTAAGAGATGACGTCACTCAACCACCACCGTTGACTATTATGACAAAAGTCTATCTTTGCGAAAATCTTACTCAATGAATTAAGGAAAAGTTGCCTTATTGGTCCACCAACTTATTATTTAAATAGCGACTTGGTCACCAACCTTCAAAAACATAAATAGGTCCATCCACAACCTTCGAATGTGAACAAGTTGTATAATCAATTTTTAACAACGAAAAATAGTTTGAATCTTTATAATTGTTGTCTACATGTCTAGCTTTAACTTCATGAAACTTAGACCCTGTTTGTTTTAATTAAAAATTAGATTTTCAGTAGAGTTTGATAAAATTATTAAATATGTGGTTTAAAATTTGATTAAATTTGTGGATCTTACTAAACGTGTGGTAGAAAATGAGTTTGAGTGAAAATAAATTTTAGAAAATGGGAGTAAAAAGTGGGCTAAGGGCTAAATTTGATTTTCCATCTTAGAGCAATGCTCGAAATTTGAAGCATCATATATACGAAGTTTCACAACAATAGTTGTGACAATTTAACAAGAGCAGAATCAACTCAAAAAGTTTAGCAGGCTTTGGAAATTCTAGGTTTTCACTCACTTTTGATGAAACAAGATTTGTAGTTACTCTGATTATAGAAGCACTTGATATATTTTTATCTTCTCAATTCAAAGTTTTTTTGCCCTCAAAATACCTCAGACTTCCATGATCGAAATCATTACAACGATCATTTTGCAAATGGTGTACTCCTTATGTCCAAACAATTGTTTCTCTTTTCTATTTCAAAAGTTAAAAGTTAACTTGCTGTTTAACCACTAGGTGAAGTGCCTATTGCTTAGCCCTCGTTTGGCCCACGTTTTTTCAAATGAAAACGAATGAAATAATGTTTTATTTTTTTTAAAAAGAGTGGTTGAAAAAGAAAGAAAAATTTTCGATTTACATACAATATTATTTTATAGAAAATTGTATGGTTAAAAATAAGATAGAAAAAAATGAAATGTACTATAATTGGGGCTTAATGGGGGATTAAATTTTCACATAAAGTATTAGGGTAGTGCTACATATACAATTGGGTAATCCATTGAATAATGGAGATTCACTTAAAATAAAATATTATAAATTATCTGAAGCGAATCTCCCCTACTTGAGAGTGCAAAAAAGCCATAGAGCAAGGTCCAAAATTAGACTAAAAAAACAGGGGCACCATGTAGAGGCCCCCCTATTTTTATAATAGCCCAC